CCCCCCTCCCTGCCGTCTTTGTTTCCTCCCCCCCCAGCTCTCCCCACTCCCCCCACCCCACCCCCCTCTCCTCTCCTCCTCTTTTTTAGAAGCAGCGATCGGAGATGGATGTCTCTCTCTGCCCAGCCAAGTGTAGTTTCTGGCGGATTTTCTTGCTGGGCAGCGTCTGGCTGGACTATGCGGGCTCGGCGCTGGCGTGCCCCGCGAACTGTGTCTGCAGCAAGACCGAGATCAGTTGCCGGCGGCCGGACGATGGCAACCTCTTTCCCCTCCTGGAAGGGCAGGATGCGGGGAACAGCAACGGGAACGCCAGCGTCAACATCACCGACATCTCCAGGAACATCACCTCCATGTGAGTCCGGCGGCCGCTCCCGCCCGCGCCCCCGCGTCTCCTTCCCTCCGGTCCGCGGCCGGGAGCCGGCCCTCCGCCCGCCCCAGCTCGCCGCCGTCCCCCCCTCCACCCCGGGCGCGCGTCAGGCTCGCTTCGGCTCGGGAGATGCTCGCGGGCCGCGCCGGCCAGGTGACTCCGGCCCCGGCGGGGCGCGAGCGGAGACGCGCGCGTCTCTCCCCGGAGGGGAGCCCGGCGGGCCGGGGGACACGCGTGGCCCAGCTCCCGCCGCCGCCCCACCTGCCGGGGCTGGTTTGGGGGGTGCGAATCGGGTTTTCGCCCCCCCCCCCACTGAATAGCAACAGTTTGGCCACGCTCAAGTGGCACAAAGTAGATGGGGTTCGGTTCCCCCCGCGGCGGCGGCGGCGCGTAGCCGGGAGGGACGGTGACCGGCGCTGCTCGCGATCTGGCCGACACGGTGAACTGTTTCCTTTTGGAATCGGCCAGACACGCTGACAAGTAAACAAGTCGGGAGCGGGCAGCCCGCGGGGAGACTTGGGGCGCGCCGAGGCCGTCATGGACGCCCACCTCTCCCCTTTCCCTCTCGGCCGCGCGCCCTCTCCAGCCCCATTTTGGGCATTTCCGAGACACCCCCGCCCTTCCCCACTCTCCTGTGCATTTGGGCGCCCACAGATCCCCGTTCCTTTCCGAGCTTTGGTAACTGCTCGGGTAACCCTGAGGCAGGGTCGTGAAGGGGGAGACGGGCTCGCCTGTTTTGGGGATGGGGGTTCCTATGTGATCGTGCAGATCCGTTTATTTGGAAAATTGGACTCTGGCTGGCGTTTGCCTGGTTCTGCCCGGTCTGGGTGAGACCTGTGGTGGCCTGCTCCTTGGCAGGGATGCGGGGCAGAGCGCGGGTGGGGAGAAGGGAGAACTCAGGGCCCAGGAGCCCGCCCATCCATTCCGTCCCTGACCTCGGCTAGATGACCCCCTCCTGTTCTGCCATCCGAAGAAGGGTGTGGATGGCACCGGGATTGTTCAGGCATAGCTCCTGTCTATCTCGCCTCAAGGTCCCCTGCACTCGGGGACCCTGAAGTGGGTGGGGTGCTAAGAAGGGTTTGCAGCGAAGTCCCGGCTGGGGCCTGAGGAAGGCATATGGGCAAACCCGAGAGGGGCCGAATCTGCCTTTGGCACCGCTCTCCCGGGTATCAGCCCTCCTTTGCCTCAGCCCCAGTGTGGTGCAGCTGCCCAGCCTGGAAGAATGGCAGTCCTGCTCTTTCCAAAGCCCACCGGCCCTCCTGGCCTAATGGAGAGGCTGCTCACAGTCTTGCAGTTCCAGGGCAGTGTACAGCCCGCAAGATGTTCCTGCCTCCAGGCCCGGGAGACAAGCCTGACCGTATCTCTGCTTTGCCATTCACCCCCTTCAACCCAGCTGGCCAGAGATGATGAGAAAAATAGCCAAGGGTGGGGTGAGGAGGGCAGGAGAAACGGGGTGGGCCGAACCCTGCCCCTTCTGCCCTGAGGCCCCAGCATTCCAGCATCCCCAGGGATGCAGGGACAAGGGTCCGGAGTAAGATGGGCAGGGAAACTCCGCCTTAGAAGTGCACTGTCGAGCTGTATACCTGTGTGTGGTGGGAGGTGGGGTTGGGGAAGCTTAGCAGTGGTCAGGGGCTTCCAGGGATTGGGGTGGGCCGCAGGCTGGAGGAAGGGTGCCTGGGTGCCCAGTGTGGGTCTCTGGGAGCTTGGGAGCCTCATCTAGCTTGTTCTTTGCTCCAGGGATGTGTGTACCTGTAGGAAGCCACCGGGAGGCAGGGATGATCGCAAGCATGTAGGCTGGTTATAGCCGCACAGAAGTGTCGCTTCTCTGAAAATGATGCTTGGGGAACAGTGTGATAAGGAAAAGTTGGGCTGGTCTTTCTAGGCAGAGGGTCCAAGATGGGGCTGCTGGAAAGGTTAGCAATGGGAGGGGATGGGGCAGCCTCTTGTTCCCCTTGCTGCTGGAGGACCCCAGAAGGGCACCTGGTGGTGGGGGTGACAGTAAGCAGGAGCGGACTTGGAGCTCCTCCGTGTGTGTTGGCATCTTGGTTTCAGGACTGGGATTCTTTGGCAGGAAGTCAGGACTCCTTTCCTTACTTCTACCCCAAGAGCTGGGGACCTGGATTCCTACAGGAGCTGTACTGAGTGGCAGGTGGGAAAGGGTCAGGGGTCATGGGTCAGATGACCCTTCTTTGCCCCGTCTTCTCCCCAGTGCCCTATTATATCTATGGCTGGTATTGACTGAACTCGGAGGAGGGCCTCGCCTTCTGGCTAGAGGCGGTAGGCGGTCATGCTGGCCCTGGGAAGCAGATGTCAGTGTCCGTGTTTTACCCCGCAGGGGATGGAGGGTCCAGGGAAGTAATCTACCCTTGGCACACAGCCCCAGTGGGGAGCCAGGCTTAGCCTCTGTCTGGCCAACACCAAAGCCCAGGCCCCCATTCTGCAGTCTGGAAGGGAGGGGCTTGAGGGCAGAGAGGTGCCTTCCACACAGAGGAGAGGCCCTTCTTTTCCTGTGACCTGCCGAGGGGGCTGCAGCTGAAGCTGGGCTTTGCTGGAGAGGAGGGTATTCTTCTGTTTTTGCTGCTACCAGAGATTGGAGTCGAGGGGCCCCTAGCCTTTCATCAGCCTGAAGCTCTTGGTGCTGGTGTGTGCCTGGGGGTGAAGCTTAGGCATTCTGGGAGATGAGGAAGGGGCTGCATTTCCAGGAGGCCTGGTGGAGGGAACCTGGGGTTGGCCTCTCCTGAGCCGCCCTCTTCCTGGAGCCGCCCCCCCTCTGGTGCTGAACTGCTCATACCTGAGTTTTAAAAGGGTCAAGAGAGTCCCCACAGCCCTCCTCGGGGTGGTGTGTAGAGTGGCCTCTGCGTGCCCACTGGAGGGTGGCTGAGGGCACCTCCCATGGGGGCGCGGCTGTTCCCTTAGCATCAGGAGGGAATCAGCTACAGGGCATCAGGGCGGAAGTGTGGGTCTCATCACCCCACCCAAGCCCCCCCTTAGGCCAATCCCTTTACCGCTAGAGCTCTTGACACACTGTAACCTCACCTATAAGGGTCCAGGCGCGGCCGCGCCCAACCAGGCTCTGCCGTTGCAAAGGCCAGGAGGGTGGTGGCTGGGAGATGGGTCGCCTGGGCCTCTGGGCCGGGCCTGCCTGGAGCTGGTTGGCACAGTGCATCCTTTGACTGTTAGAAAGCAGCTTAAGGGGAAAAGATGGCATCTCTGGGCCTGGGCTCTTGGGGTTGGCTACCTGGGCTTGTGAAGATCATGGGCTCTTGGCAAGGGTATTAGCTGCCAGCTGGGTCTCCAAATGAGCCCCAACAGGGTCCCTGATGTTTGCAGCTCCTGACCCCCTATTCCCCTCTGCAGGCCCTCCCCTGGTCAGGCGAAGGGTCCCGGGGCTTTGGCTGCTGTATTGGCCCTTTGATTCTCAGCCTTTCTAAGGATCAAGGGGAGAGCCAGCCTTGACAACTACCAGTGAGACCTGGGACAGAGGCAGGGGTGGGGGCCAGGCCCCAAGTGTGCTATGTTATGGGGTGCAGTCAGGAGCCCCAGGATTGGGCCTATGCCTGAAGGAGGTAGGCAGAGATATGAGGGGCCTTTGAGGTGAGATTAGGAAGGGGGAGAGATTCAGCACTAGGGAAAGAAGCAGGGGCCCTGGGCTCCAGAGGCCCTGTGATTTTGCCTGGAGAGCCTTCTGCAGCCCCTACCAGCCCAGGTACGTCTTTTGAGGCATACCCTGGGGCCCAGGGCATCAGCTTGCAGCTCCAGGGGCCCTGGGCCTGTGATGGCTTTGGGTAAAACCATCCCAGCCTGGCCCTAGCTCTGGGTGTGCTTGTGTACTGGTCCCCGGAGAGCTGGGCCTGGAGCCTGGGAGGGGCCCCCATCCTGCTGCCTGCAGATGTGGAGTGGGCTGTGGCGGCCGAGGGAGGGACCCCACCTGGCTCCCCTGGCATGCTCTCCGTTCTTGCCCCACAGTCCTGGCCGGGGCCGCCGCCACCTCTCTGCCTGTAGGGGTGGACTGGGCCCCCACCCAGCTGGCTCTTGGGCGGGAGTGAGGGTAGCCATGGTCCTCCTGCAGGACAGCCTCTGCCAATGTTGTGGCATCGTCACTGCCTCCTGGGGTCCCTGTGTCAAGTGCGGTGGTGTATTCTGGCATCACAGACCCCTCCAGCCTGCCTTAAGGGCCTCCAGTTGGCCAGCGGCAGGTGGGAGTACAGAAAGGATGGGACACGTGAATCCCACTCCTGGCTCTTCCCTCCAGCCTTTCTGAGCCTGTGAATTCAACTGTGAATTGAGGCCATAGGGCAGTGTCCCTTCCAGCTCTGACGCATGCCATCCCGGGGCCCTAGGCACATTCCCACGGGTCTCTTTGCAAGGCCACCTCTAAGGCCATCTCCTCCGGGATTGGCTCCCTCACTGTCCATTTTCCCTCCCAGCTCCTTCCCACCTCTAGGGACCTCTGTGCCACCCAGATAGTACCGCCCAGCCTGGAGTCAGCTGCCCAGACCAAATGCCACCCTCAGCAAGGATATTCTGGGACCTTCAGCCTCTCACCAGAGGCCACACCCCCAGCTTTGTGGCCCACCATTCTCCACCCTGAGCCCAGGGCCAGGAGGAGACATTCCTGTGCAAAGCTCCAGCTCATTGCAGGGGCAGGGGCCTCCGCTGGGCGTGAGAGAAAATGTTAGAATTTCTATTTCAAATTATTGCCTGAAAGAGGAATGCTTAGTATTTAATGTAAGGATTGAAGATGTATAAACATATAATTTAATAAATATGAGTGTTTGGTGGTTACAGGATAAATTTTTTATTGCTTATAGGCCACATAATCCAAAAAAGCTTGGTGCCCACTGTTGGACTGCAAGGGTCTGAGTTTGAGAGGGAGTTCGGATGATAGTAGGAGGGGGTCCACAAGCTCCTGGCTCCCCTTCTTGGCTGTGTTCCATGGAGGGGTTGATCAGTTGGGAGTGGGGACCAGGCTGGGTGGCACAGGG